CAGGTTGGATGATGCCCCCACATTAGGGAAGGCCATCTGGTTTTCCAGCTTACCAATTTTCAAACTGACCTCTCCTAGGAAGGTCCTCACGGATGCCCCCAGAACTCATGTCAATCAAGTATCTGGGCATGCTCTGGCCTGGTAAAGTTGGCACATAAAGCTGACCCCACACCCTCCCTAAGCAGACCTTTGTCCCCTGGAATGGGGTGACATCCCTGAATTTCCAGACTCTAGAAAGGCCTGAGCCAGAACTTGGTAAATGGCCAATGAAAGGATGGATGGCCCAGCAGGCCCCGAGCCCTAACGGGAATGGATACTGTGAGAGTCTGGGCAGAAGGAAACCTGGCTCTGCAGCCCACCATCCTGCCAGACCCTTCCTCCCAGCAGGGCTCCCCAGGCTGAGGACAGACACATTCCTGCTTCCTGCCCAGCTGGTGGTGGGAGGGGCCCCTGTGCAGCTTGGCTTTCTGGGGTCCGAAGGCCCACCCACCAGCCCGAGTCCCCCATCCAGGAAACCCCTCCTGACTGCTCCTGCCCACCCCCTGCCCATGCCCTGTCTTATGGGCTCCCACGTCGCTGCACCCCACATGCCTGTTCTCACTTCCCTTCAGGTTCTGGCTCAACCCAGCAGATCTTTCTGAAACCCCGGGGCTCTGCAGGGCCAGAGCGGCCCTCCCTGTCATCTCACCTCCTCCACCTACAGTGTGGAAGAGCCCAGAGCACCACGGAGAGAAGCTGGGTTCCTTCCTGCCTTGCCCTTGGGAAATTCTCTCCTTTCAGAACCTGAGGGCAGGCTGGCTGGAGGAGGATGCCTTTCCCACAAAGACCCAGAGGCCCCTAGGAAGCTGCTTCTGTCCCCTTAGTCTTCATTTTTCTTGCCTGATTCTTACTCCCCAAGACTGGGGCTGGGAAGGACTTGGAGGATGTCTTTTTTCTCCCTCTTCCCTGATGGCCAAAGCAGCGCCTCTTCTTCCACCAGCCCCTTAGGCTGGCTGAGCCACAGGTCAGGCCCTGGGAGGGCTCTGTCCATCTCCAGTGTCAGGACCTCATCCAGGCTGCCGGGGGTCCAGCCAGGGACCTTGGCTGCAGCTCGTCTGCCACCTGGTGGCCACAATGAGCATTGCTCTTCCAACCCAGCTTCTAACCTGCCATCCAGTGTCCTCTCTCAAAATCCCACAGATGTTCCTCTTGACCAACCTCCTCCCCCTAGAGATGGGGAAGCCTAAACCCTGGAAGAGGAAGCGTTTGCCAATCAAGGGATCTTCCAGGACCCTGCATCCGTGGACCAAGCCCCAGTTCACAGACCCCCATCATGGAAGAGAGTAAAGAAGTGGCAGGAGATTGAAGTTCCAGGTGACACTAGAAGGGGACAAAAGGTAGACTTGTAGCCATAGTGAAATATCTAGGGAAGGGATGCACAATTCACAAAGAGAGCTTCTGCCAATACCAACAACACTAACTAGCCACTAACGTTCATTAACATGAACCTCTAACTACTAACACAAAATTTTAAGTAGCCACTAACCACTAATTAACCACTATCATTAACTAACACCAACCACTAACACCACTACTCGAACATCTCTACCAACAATTAAAACTCAAGAGAGACCAAGATGGTTTGAATGATAAATAACATTGCAGAAAAGCTGTCACGCTTACACCATTTGAGCAAGAATCCACTAGACTGACTTTTCTGGGAGGCAATTTGGGTATTATAAGACTCATCACATGCACAGCATTATCTAAAGCATTCTAGGTCTAGGGGAATTAGTTCTGAAAATCTCAAAGCTTATTCTGAACTTTTCTTTTTTTCTTTTTGAAGGTGTACACTGAAATTGTAGGCAAGGAAATCTATCTTCCCAGGTATTTAATAAAAATGGCAAGGATTTTCACCAACTGAAAGTTTGCTAAATGATAATTGGTAAATAAAGAACATTATATAGACTTTACAAGTCTGTAGCAGAAAAAAATGTCTGATTGTTCTGTAGCCAGCTCAGTTACTTTTTTAAAAAATCACAACTTTATTGAGATAAAATTCATATACCATAAAATTCACCCCTTCACTGTGCATGATTCTGTGATCTTTTTTGTATATTCACAGAATTTGCAACCATCTCTACTAACTTTAGAATATTTTGTTGCTTCAAAAAGAAACACCATCACTCTCGACAGTCACTCCCCAGTTCTCGCTCCGCAGTCTCTGTGAACCTCTCATCTACCATGTTTCTATAGGGATTTGCCTGTTCTGGGAACTTCATATAGATGGACTCATACATATGTGGCCCCTGTGATTGACTTCTTTCACTCAGCATGACATCTCCAGGGCTCACGCATGGTACACTCCATTCCTTTTTATTATGGTATTAGCTTTCCATTGTGTGGACATGCCGTGTCTTATTTATCCGTTCATCGGTTGGAGGATAATTGGGTTGTTTCCTCCTCTTGACCATTATGAATAGTCACAGAAAAGTTTTTATGCAGACACACATTTCCAGTTCTCTTATATATCTACCTAGGACTACATTTGCTAAGTGACTCAAAGTTTGGCTTTTCGAAGAACTGCCAATCTTTTTGCCAAAGCAGCTGACCATTTTACCTCCCCACCAGCAATGTGTGAGGGCTCCAGTTTCTCCACATCCGACCAATACTTGTTACTGTTTTGTTTGTTTTTTTCCCATTTTCACCTTCCTCACAGGGGTGAAACAATATCCCATTGTGATCTTGATCTGGGTTTTCTTGATGACTCATGCTATTGAACATTCTTTTATGTGCTTACTGACCATTTGTAGGAAATGCATGTTATTTTAAAGGATAGAAACAAGATGCACACTTAGAAATGTATTATAATCGCAAGATGTGTCAAAAATGCAGTGTTGGGGTTTAAATGTGAGGTGTCCCCCAAAAGCTCATGTGTGAGGCAATGCAAGAGAGTTTAAAGGTAAGATGATTAAGAGAGTCTTAACATAATCAGTGCATTAATCTGCTGATAGGGATTAACTAGGTGTTTAAATGCCTTGGGGTGTGGCAAGAGGAGGTCGTCCCTGGAGCCCTGACTTTGGGGTATATATTTTGTCCTTTTAAAGCAGAATTAACCCTCTCTTTCTCTCCTTACTGGTGCCTCTTTCTCTCCTTCCCAGCTGTTTGCCTCCACCATATCTTCTCTCATGATGTTCTGCCTCACTGGGAGCCTGAGGAATGGAGCTGACCTTTCTAAAGACTGAGACCTCTGAAACCCTGAACCCCCCAAGTAAACTTTTCCTCCTCTGATTGTTCATGTTAGGTCTTTTGGTCACAGCAGCAAAAACAGCTGATTAAAACATGAAGGAAAAAACACCTTTCAGGAAACATAAAGATATCCGTGGTGAACGTCATTGGGTAATAACATCATGGTTGATTTTTATATTCTTTTTAATCCCTTCTATCCCTCTGTTCTGACTTAGATATGAGATGTCCCCCAAGAGCTCATGAGACAATGAAAGAATGTTCCGAGGTGAAATGACTGGGTTATGAGAATCTTCATCTAATCAGTAGATTAATCCACTGATATGGTAGGGGGGTGGCCGGAGGAGGTAGATCCCTGGGGCATGACTTTGGGGTTTTGTCCCTGTGATACCTCCAGTTATCAGAGATGAGTTCTGCTTCCCCACATGTTGAGGTTTGAACATTAGAGAAGCAGTCAAGGCAAGCATATGAAGCAGGTTTAATTTAAAAGTTAGTATAAAGTAGGCTTCTCCCGGGAGGGAGGAGGGGCCATGGCTGGTATAGTGGTATCCCAAGAAGTGAGGGTGTTCTGCCTCTTTTATATACTCTAGACTTTCTTGGTTCTTCTGCCTTCTTCCCTTTTATCTCTCCCCCTCCTGAATACCTGACTAGGCCCAGGAGGTGGCCCAGGTGGAATGGCCAACAGGTGAGAAGCAGATGGGCAGGGGGAGGGGCCAAATGGAGTGATCCAGGCAGGAAGCAGCCCTGTCGGGAGGGGCAATCCCTGGGACAGGTTACCTTAGCCACAGGTTGGAGCAGGGGCAGGTTATCCTGGTGAGAGTGGAGGAAGGGCTCTGAAGACGTTGACATTTCCATTCCTCAGGGGCAGTCTCCAATTTCCGGGACCCAAACTGGCCTCCATTCTTTCCATTGGACCAACTGCTTACCGCTCTACACAAACTGCCTGTCTTTAATTCTGGCTTCACCTGGTGAGCAGAGCTCTGTCTCTTTCCCAGCTGGTGTGTCCCAAGCTGCTTTCCTCCACTAGGCCTGTCCACCATGATGCTCTGCTTTCTGACCAGGGACTGGACCTCTGAGATCATGAGCATGGCTCTTGTCAGGTCTTTGGTCGCAGTGACGAGAAGTTGACTGAAGCAACCTCCGGATCACCTGCGATAAGTGGGATCACTTTTATGATCTGACACTAAAGGAAAGAATGCACGGTGGGTTTGAGACTGGGCCACCTTGACGTCTGTCCCACCAGCAGGCGCTAGGCATCTGGGCATCACGGGCAGCCATGTGACCTCGGGTTTCATACGGCCACCTCCTCCTTCACAGGAACCCTCATGATTATGAGCAGAGGGGTGTCCACCAGTGCCCTTTAGTACACACACCTGTGTGCCAGCAGCCCAACCCGCCATGCCCAGCCCATGATCCAGGAATATCATGGAAGGCAAGCAGAATCTCGTGCAGAAAGGGCTCAAGGGGATCACAGAGGCAAGAGGAACCCAAGAAGGTCCAGCAATCAGCCCTGGTGGGTAGAGGCTGGAGGGGGAGGCTGGACTCTCAGGTCTCCAAGGACAGTACCCTGGTTTCTTTCTCCTTGCTCCTGCCAAGGAGGAGGATGGGAGCGGGGTGGATGGCGTGGATGTGGTGCTTTAAAGGAGCCCTCAGCAGATACTGGGCAGCAGGCAGCAGGTTGGGACTCAGGAAGGTGTAAAGGACTTAGAGAAGAGGAATCTCCACCCCAGAGAAGGTCAGGAAAGGAGGCTCAGCAATTTCCAGAAGAAGTTTTTAATGGGCACAAGGAGAAATGCTCACATTTGTTAGACATCAGGGAAATGCACATAGGACTAGCAATGGGGGGGCCACCGTGCATCCATATGGGTTGCCAACACGAACGAGCTGCAAGTGCCACGTGTCGGGGGCTGCAGGTGTTTCGTAACCTGGAGAGCTGCTGGCGGGAGCGCCAATTTGCAGACACACAATATGTCACGTCAACAAGAGGCGTGACGGGTGTCCTAGGTACCTACTCCTGGGTACGAGTCCCAGAGAAAGGCTTGCCCACACCAACCAGTCCAGAGGGAACATCAGGTGCATGTCCACCCAGAGGGAGGGGGATGGGTAACCTGTGACAACAGCCCCATGTGGCACCATGAGGCCAAACAGGACCAGACACACACATGGCAACGTGGGTGGATTTCTCAAAAGCACAGTGCTGAGCGGGGAAACACGAAAGCAGGATGAAGCACATAACCAATAGTATTTATGTAAATTCTCAGAAGAAACACAAGAAACACTCCGTGTTTTGCAAGAGACACAGAAACACAAAGAATCTCATTGCACATGTTGGCTTCTTTGCCTGTGGGAGGAGGGGCGTGGGAGTGGGGTGGGAACAGAGAGAATCCATTTCTAAAATTAATAAAACATGAGGATCCCTGCAGAGACAAATGCTGATAAGGCAGCATGAACTCAGAAATGATAAATGCAACTCTGCACCGGAAATTCAAATAGGGGATGGAGACGCTCTCCCCTTTAGAGGCACATTGTTCACTGGAGCATGTATCTATTCAGGTATAAGTTTATGGGCTCCTTGGAGCCTTGGGCTGTGGCCCCAGACTTGAGGGAGAGGACCTACTGGGAAGAGACACAGATCAAGGAAGTTAGCAATGACATAAAAGGACCTAGAGAAAAGCCAAGAGGCAGGAAGGATGGTCTTGCTCCTCCAAAGGCTGGTGAGTAGCTGCCCCAGTTCAGGGATGGACTCCAGGCACGACGTGGCCCACCTAGCACATAGACGTCAGCACCTTCGCCCCTGAGCGGGAAGGCATCGCCCAGTTAGCACAGGTCCTCCGGGCTGGCAGCAGTTCAGGGTCATGGCCATGCCACTTCCGTGAGATCTCAGTCCTCACCTCCAGGGATAAGGGAGAGGATGTTAGGAAGGTCCCATGGCCACTCCACTGCTTACCCCAATGAGACTGGGGGTGCAGGGAGAGGTCCTGTAGGAAAAGCACACACAGGGCAGCAGAAGCCACAGCTGACCGCAGGTAATGCCCCTGGATAATACTGCTTCCTCCTTCCTCTGAGTATTGCTGACCACTGCCTTAAGCTCTGTCTTTGCCTTTTAGCACTGCCTGTGTCTGGGTCCAGTTAAACACACCTATGGGTGCTTTCTTGAGTGTCCTTGCCAAATTACTACTCTGTCCTCCCTGGGTGACTTTAATCACCCCTGCACTAGGCTCGATTCTGTGAGCTCAAATGTAGGAATCTGTCCTGAGGACATGGCGGAAGGGAGAGAGGACTCAGAGCTCTGTGTGAGGCTGCAGTTGAGAGAAATGAAAGAAATGTAGTCAGGGGTGGGGCCCCAGCGGGGGCGGGTGCTGCCTGTATCTTCACATCTCCGAGGGACTGTTGGGGGCTGAGGGACTGGACCTGCCTGGCAGAGCCGAGCTGGGGCTGCGATAAAGATAAAAGGGGGTGCAGAGTTTTGCTCACAGAAGGATGTCACCCCACAGCTGCCTGAAGACAGAGAGCACTGCTGGTGGGTAGTAAGCTCCCCATCACCAGCGGCGTCCGGTCCCCAACGCTGCTTCCTGGGATAGATCCCTCCAGGACTACCTGTGGGAACTCCTTTCTCAGACCCCACTGGCCTCCGCAGAGGCTACCCCCAGGACGCCCTGAGCCCCCACCAACCGCCACACCCTCACGCTGCAGGCCTGGGTCTACGTTACAGACTCCAGGTAAGGCTCGGGGGACTCAGAGAGGCTGGACTGGGAGCCCAGGGAGCCAAGGAGAAAGAAGCATTAGCCTGCAGAGGTGCGGGTAGACAGTGGCACAGGGCACCTGCAGCCTGCTCTCCACTAGAAGCAGGGCTGCGAAGCAAACCCATGGCCACCAGGGGGAGCCCGCGACCCCGACCACGCACCCAGCAGAGGGGACTGGAGTAGCTGCTCAGAGCTAAATTCTCCCATCTCTCCCTCGAGCAAAACTGTCCTAAGGGCAGGAACTCGCAGGGTCTTCTGGATGTCACTCACTCTCGCCTGCCATTTTTCCCGTGCCTCTATGTGCACAGCAGCCGGGCCATCGGGTCTGTCTATTCGTGTCTGCCTCCATCTCTGGTTGGTCCAGTTGTGTGTCTCCTCTAGGTGCTCTCTGTTTCCCACATTCTGCTCTGGATCTTCCTCTCTGTCTCTGTCTGAATCTGACTCTGTGTCCCTAGGTCTCCATATGTCTGCCTCTGACTCTCAACTCCTCTGTCTGTTCTCTCTGACCATCTCTCCCTGGAGCTGGCATACTCCCTCCCCCTCTCTCCCTTGACCCCTGAAGGACCTCCTGTCCCTCCTATTGAACAGGCAGTAGAATTTGGCCCCGCTCAGAGGAGGAATGGGTGAACGATATTTACAGAAAGCATTCAGGTTCCGCTTGATCAAGGAGCTCAGCACAGACTCCCACAAAGGATCATAGGAGTCAAGGATCACAGGAGTCAGCCTAAGCTGGGGTGGGTGGGGGAGCTTAGGTTCAGTGGCAGTGGGAGCCCAATAAGCAAGGAAGAGCCAGAAGAATCACATACCTCTTGGTTGAGGAAGCAGTAGAGGATGGCAACAATAAATCCCTGTGGGACCGGAGAGGAAGGACTCCATAAGAACAGTTTGGCCTGGCCTCAAGGCCTCCACAGTCTTGCTACTACCCTCTCCCCATCACCCCCAGGCTGCAGCTTGGGCCAGGTGTTTGCCAAAAGGGAATTTAGATGCATTCATCGCTTACTGTTTGCCAGGCACACTGTTCCGTATCATTGCTGTAGCAAGCCTGCCCGGACGGTGCTATTAGCCCATTTCTCTGACCTGGATCGAACCCAGGGGTGCACTATCACTGAGCTACACTCCCAGACCTTTATTTTTTGTTTTGAGAAAGGTTCTAAGTTGCCAAGGCTGTCCTCAAACTCAGGATCCTCCTGCTTCAGCCTCCCGAGTCACTGGGATAGAAGGTTTGTGACACCTTGACCAGCTTTTCTTGATTTTCTTTATTCATATTAATAGTTCCTTTATTAATATGAAAACATAATAAATGTTCAATAGCTGAGATGAATGTATGCATGGGTGGGTGGGCAGATGGACAGAACAGGGAGATGAAGGGATGGATGGAAGATGGACAGGGGGTAGTTGAATAGATGAAGAGTAGTGGCCCTCACCCTATCAGGAAGCTAGCCAAGGCCTCCTGCTCAAGTACTTGGAGGAAGAAAGTACCTGTGGAGACCCTCACCTGGAAGGACCCCAGTCCCAGCTCGAGGGGGAGGCGGATGCCCAGGCCAGCATCGTCGGGCAGGAAGTTAAAGATGATGTAGTGAATTCCGAACAGCGGGATGAGGAGAAGCGTCGACTTGGAGAGGCGCCTGCAGGGAAGACAAACACGAGGTTCCCAAGGCTGGGGTCAGAAACTGTGGCGTCGGCTCTCCCCACTCGCACTTCCACAGCGTCCCCACTCCACCCTGGGCACCAGCCACCTGGGACACCCATCCTTCCGAACTCATGCTGGGATTCCTTATTCTTGTACCCTCTGCTAAGGTCTCTTGTCCCATTTTATTCCAAAGTCCATGCATCTTTCAAAATATAGTTCAAAGACCACCCCTCCAGGCCATCTTCCCTGACTCCCCTCTCCCTGCTGTCTAGAAAGATCCCCATCTCTAGGCCCCTGAAGAAATGGATCCCGGCTCTCTTCCGCCTAATGGGCATGGTAACTGGCTGTTGGGAGGCCCCCATCTTTCCCATGCTGTGGTCTCCTGGAGGGCAGGGACAAGATCTATTGTCTCTGAGGACATAGGAAAGAGGAGAGTGCTGGGATTGTGAGCACTTGCTGAATGAGACAGAACCGCTTGAAATCTCCTCCGTGCCCTCCCTCGGGTCCCCCAACACACACACACACACACACACACACACACACACACAGCCACAAAGGTGCATGAGCTTGTGTGTACGCAGGCACGCACTCCCACCCCACCCCACCCCCTAAGGTACCAATATTGAGACTGGGTGTGGGGGCTCCCCTGAGCTGGCTCCAGTTTCCTCAGCAGGATGCGGATAATATTGAGAAAAAGCCCAAAATTCACCTGGAAACGAGGTGCAGGAAGAGAGAGGGCAAGAGTCAGGGGCATCACTGGGTGGCCTAAGGAGGAACCCTAGCCCCTTTGGGGACAGGAAACCCCAAATCCTTGAGACACGGAGATGTGCCAGTGAAGGATGTGCCCAGATCATGGTCTGGAACTTAGGGCTCCCACGTGAGGTCTTCAGAGGACATGAAAGGCTTACGTCCCCTCCCTCTCCAGACCTGGCAGCAAAGGTGGGAGGGGCAGGCCCTGCCACCTGCCTCCAGTCTCTTCTGAGTCTTCTCTGCCTCAAAGCAGATGCCATCACTTTGCACAATTGCTAAGTTGGGGAAAATTCACTCGTTCCCTCAGCGCCATGCAAATAGAGTTTGCCGTCCTGTGTTACAAGTGGGAGCCCGGAGTGGTTGTTCCCCTGCACAGGCTTCACCTACACCCCACCCCTGCCTCTCGCCCCACAGCGCGTAATCAGCAGCCAGCAGCACCCCAGACTCCTGGAGACTCCAAGCTAGAAGCATGCGTGTTGTTGGAGTCCCTGTTCCAAGGAATCTGATCCTGAGGCAGGGACCCCACACCCAGAGAATCTGCACAGGGGGAGGTGGGACCCAGGGTTCCCGATTCCCAGCCTGGAGGTGTTTCCTGTTGCATTTTGCTGTGTACAGCCCCTTGGGGGACCCAAGGAGGCTGATTGAATAAAGCAAAAGGACCCTTGCTCCCAGGAACTGACCCCAACAGAGAGGATGATGGGCCCTTTGATGATCCACCAGTAGGGGGAGCTGTCGTCTAGGTCCCAGCACCTAGGGAGAGGGCAGGCCAGGGCTGATGGGGGCGCTCCCTTTCTGCAGGAACCTATGCACCCCGCTCCTCTCTCCTCTGGCTACTCCTGGGCTCCTCTCCTTGGTGTCTTTCACCCCACCTCTCTCCCACCTTATCTTCTTTTTCAGACACATAGGCCTTCTAAAGAGAAGCCCCAGTGGTTCTGGAACTTGGGGCTGGGCTCAGCCTTTCTCTTCACCTGAAGGAATGGACTTCTCTGACATTCGTCCTGGTGGCCCATAAACTTCCAGAGGACACACTGACAGCCCCACACCCTGGCAATCTGGGCCCCTTCTGCCAGGGCTACTGCCCCTTCTGGGTTATCTGCAGACATTCTCCCCACCTCCCAGCCCCACCCACACTGGGAACTCCTCTTCCTTCTCTTCCTACTCTGGAGGAGAAAGGCTGCTTCCCTTGACAGTCCTCTCCACACCCCAGATCCCCAGGTGTGGGTGTAATGAGAGGCTGCTCAGACTCACGCAATGTCCTCGAAGGCCAACTTGCAGCCCACCCAGGTGCCAGTGCAGAGCATGGGAAGCCCTGTGGGGTGCAGAGGAGACCCGAGTGAGGGGGGCTGCATCCTTGGCTCTGAGATCCTCCCTCCCCTCCCACCACCACTGCTGGCCTCAACGGCTGGACCTGACAAGGGCCCAGGGTCCAGGGATCCAGTCCTGCTCGCCAACACCTGGTGGAGGACTGTGGCCCATCTCTTCCTCTCTTGGGACTGCAGTCACCCCCACCGGGGGGAAGGGCCTCTGTGTGAGCGCCCTGGGCCTTCCCAGCCCTCCTCCTCCCCCAGGGTGCAGAATAGCCCCAGGTACTCACCCCAGCCAGCAAGGACCAGCCACCAGAAGGCTGTCCTTGAGCTGGGAGATGCAGAGGCCAAGAGGCAGCTCAGGTAGACGGCTTCAGCCAGCAGCCAGCTGAAGTTGGTCATCGTGGCAAAGTGAGAGGTGGCCACAGAGATCTTGCACAGGACCTGGGGACAGGAGACCTGGGTGCTTTAGAGCTGAGACCTCATTGCAGCCAGCACCCAGATCTCCTCTACCTCCTTCTGGAAGGAGGGACCCAGCTCTGCCCAAGAGACCCTGAACCTCCAGACACCCCCAACCATAGCCTGGGCCATGAGACTGCTTGAGCTTCCCTAGAGGGCTTGTGGTGGGATCACATGGTGGCTGAGAGCACAGATTTGGGATCCAGAGAGGCTGGGTTCAAGTTTAAACCCCTGTCAGGGGCGGGGCGTGTGGTGAACTACAGCATCACTGCTGGGGCCCAAGGGGCCGTGGTTCAGGCCCAGCTCCCCCACTGTGCTGCTGGGCAGCCTTGCCAGTTTCCCCTCGTGGACAAAGATGGGATTGAAGTGATGCTCCGGTCTTCAAGGCGTGTTGAAGATGAAAGGAGATCATACATCTAAAGCACTTAGTGCAATACCCGGCACATAATAAGTGCTCACTATTTTCAATTATTCATTGTTCCGTTAATTAATTCAGATTGTTTGTTGGTTTCTTCGTTCACTTATCTGTTCATTTCCGTATACTTTTAGACCCTGCAGATGCTGAGCCCGAGCCCTGCACCCAGCTTCCCTCGGTAGCCTCTATAGCCTGTGGGAGTGTCCCGGTGATGGTGACCAGAGACTCAGCCCCAGGGCAGAGGGGTAGCCTCTCTCCCAGCTCCTCCACCGCCCTTTAGGACTTCTGGCCTCGTGGCCATGTCCCAGCTCTCCTATCTTTGAGAGCATGTCCACACTTCTTCCTCCCCATCTCCCTGTCGCTGCTGCCCCAGCTCCAAAGCCACCTCCTCCCTGAAGCCCTCTCTCATTCTCTGCCAGCTCTCAGCTTTCTCTGCCTGGCAGTCCCCAGCTCTGTGTGTGCACTCTGTCCCCTCTGTGTGTGCTTCTGGAAGAAGGGACCCAGCTCTGCCCAGCCACAGACGGACAGAGGAGGTAGGGAAATGAGATGGAGAGAAAGGAGAGGCTGGGCAGAGCAAGAACTATGGCGGGTGGACCTTGGAAAGGAGTGTGGACTCAGAGTGGGGTGGGAGGATGAGCCGGGGCGTGGATGGGCACGGTGGTCCCGGGAGGGCTTGGGGAGGGGGCCTGAGCTGGGGGCAGGAAGGGGAGGGGCCCTTTCCTGCTCTGCCATCAGCCGCAGGGCAGGCACAGTGCTCTCTAGGCTGCCCCTCCCCCGGGCTTTACCGTGGAGAAGCTGCAGTAGTCGGTGTCGTCACTGTGGAAGAGGGTGGCATCCTTCAGGAACACTGCTCCCGCCTTGAGGATAAAGGTGGCAAACAGCTGGGTGTGGATGTAATTCCGGGGACAGTGGAGCTTCCTGGAAGGACAGAGAGAGATGAGGAACGGGAGGTCAGGTGGGCGAGGGCACCTGTCTGGGCTTCCTACAACAGGGGTCTGGCTGGGCTGGGCTGGGCTGGGGGGAGATGCACTGAATCCAAGCAAGTCAAGCAGAAATAAGTGGAGCGGGTGACCTGGAGTTGTAGCCCTGCAGGTCAGGTGACCAACCATGGCCCTGGGTGCAGCAGAGGTGCAGGAACAGAGGAAATCACTGCCTTCAGAGAGCTCCAGTCGGGGTAGCAGGGGCAGAGATGGCAGCGAACTGCCTGTGGGCACGTCCTGGTGACCAGAGACTCAGCCCCAGAGCAGATGGCAGCACAGGCCCATGTGGGACTCAGACTTTGAACACCGGAGAGTCATTAAAACAGAAAAAAAGCCTCAGAGGGTTGGAACAAGAAGTCGAGAAGGACTGAACACAGGAGGCAAAAAGAGTCCTCGGAAGCAGATGGAAGCAGGGCTTTGAACTTGGGGCAGATGTAAGCGCACCGAGAAGAAAGAAGGTGTTGCTATCACGAGTTCCACAGGAGCCAAGGCTGGAGGAGGGGGTTCTGGTGTGTGAAGACATGGTCCACGTGGTGGGGAAGGGGCAGGGAAGGTCAGAAACAGACATGATGCCTAGATCTGGGCACCTCCTGACTGCCAGGCAAAGAATCCGACTTGGTCCTCTGGGCAACAGGGAGCCATTGAAGGTTCTTGAAGGTGGTGAGGATGGCAAACCTGAGAGCAACCAGGATGGCAATGGCCAGGCAGAGGGCGATAACAGAGATGCTGTGGCCCGTGGTGTAGATGATCTTCACTGTAGAGAAGTAAGATTTCTGGGAAGGGGAGAGACCAAGTCTCAGCCTTTGGTGAAGGGGAGGCTCGGTGATGAGTGATTCCACCCCAGCCCTCCCCATCTGGGGCAGAGGGCCCTGGGCACCACAGGAAGCTCCTCGGTGCTTGGAGGCTTTGCCTGCAGACTGTCCTCCCCTGTCCTACTGACGTTGGAGGTGAGGGTTGGAGGTGCTTAGCACCCATGGCTGCTTTAGGGGCACAGAGAGGCGCAGCAGAGAGCCATCCGTGGGGCATGACAAAAGCCCATGAGGAAATTGGCTATTTATTGACAACCAGTGTGCTCATCAGCTTGGGAACACAATGTCCCCATACAAAGGGGACAGCCAGGGCAGCAAGGCATAGCCATGGGCAGGCAGGGACAAGCTCTTTCCGTGCCTGGGTGTTCAGATCAATCAGAGTCCCTCCCAGGCCCTGAGATGGAGGATGCAGGAAAGGGAAGGAGCAGAAGCCCCATCACTGATCCCCCACTGAGCTCTCCTGTGCAACTCAGGCAGCCCCTGCCCCTCTCTGATGCAGTTCTTTCATTGGAAACATGCTCACACGCCTGCTTTAACTTTCAGAGCTGAGGGCGGGGAGAAACGGGGTCTGAGTGTAGACAAGGCGCCTTGCTCTATGCACAGTGTGGGATGTGTTGTCTGGAATTGGGGGTCTCTGCCATCACGTCCAGGCCGAGTCCCCTCCCACTCACCCACACCCTACAGACACTGTCCCACAGACGGAGGACCACGGAGGGGAGTCTCTGGCCCGGTGCTTCTAGGAGCTTCCGTTTCTTGGAAGGGCCAGGCAGAGAAGGGCTTGCCAAAAAGATGGGAGCCAGCCCATCTGCCTCCCCACGCCCCACTCCCTCCAAGCAAAGTGGCCCATGTGTCACCCTTGAGCAAATTAGCAAGCGACTTTCTTCTCTGCCCGACTCTTCACTGCCTGCTGCTGGGCGACTGCTGTAATTAATGTTCCAGCTGATGGCAATGAGAATGGCAGATGCCCAGTTGTGCAGTCTGTCACCCATACAGATGTCCATAACCACCCTTCCTCCAAGAGGCTAGGAGCCTCTTACCTCTTCATCCAGCAGCTCCAAGGGCACTGGGCAGGCCACGGGGTACGGTGGGAAGGGATCTGACCAGCCGGTGATGGTGCAATCCCGATTCACAGCCCCTGGGAGGGAAGCAAGAAGCTCTGCTTACAGCACACCCCCTCCCCCCAGGAGGGGTGGGAGGAGCCCTGGAGCATCTGATGCCCCTGGTAGCATTTGCACAGGCTGCGCTTGGGGACAGAGAGAGGGTGAGGTCCCTGAGAGGCCTGGGTTCGGGGTCCAGCCTGCCTGCTACACAGCCTGGGGTCTTCCCTCTGTGGCCTCCCAGGTGCCCTTGAGGGGCAGAGAGTGGTGAGTTAGGCCCTCAACATCTTAAGTGGAGTAGGAAAGAATCCTGGAGGGACTGTCCCCTCCAGAGAGGGAGTGAGGCAGAACAGCAGGTGCCATCCCCCCTCTCATCCTAGACAGCGGGTAGCATCTCCAGGGAGACAGACTTGCTATTCTCCCGCTAACGGCTGGAGAACATTTGCTTGATGCCAGGCCTCAAGTCCAGTACTTCCATACTCCACCCTCTGGTCCTCCCTCCCCCTGTGAGGTTAGTGTCTTGTTCTTGTTCAGCAAGTAGGGGACCAGGGTGGAGGGACTTGCCCAGGGTCATGCCAGAAGCAGGAAGGGTGGCACTGTGATCCCGGTCTGCCTGGACCCGAAGCCAGAGATGGGTCACCACCCCCTCAGATGAAATCACCTCACCTCCCTCCACCACCCCACCCAGGGTCCTCACCGGGCTCTGAGCTGAAGTGAGAGAAGAAAGCAGGGCAGGGGAGGGTGACCCACTCGCCAGAGCCTGCCACCGGCCAGCACAGCAGCCCGTCCCAGGTCCTAGGGCAGCCTAGACAGGGAGATGGGAGACACAGGGTAGACGGCTGGCCCGGCACGCTGAGCAGCCAGGCTGGAGGAGGTAAGGGAACTGGGGATAGCACCTCTCCCCCCAGGCCCCGTACTCAGGGAGGTGTTGGGAGTCCCCTCTGCTGCCTCTAGACAGGCCCTCTCATCTTCTCTCAGTTGGGCGATGAAGCCACATTCTGGGTGCACGTGGCCCAGAACCTGCAGGAAAGAGTTAACAGAATGAGCTGAGCCACCTGTGCTCCACTGAGTCCTGGCTCAAATGACCTGAAGATAGAAATGAAGCCTGATTCAGTTCTGGGCTCCATCCTAAACACGGGCCTGCATCACAGGACTTCCGTGTGTATTGGATGGATGTTCAGACCTATGAAAGGAAGGGAAGGTGGGATGGAGGGACAGAGGTCTAGACAGATGCTTCTCCTTTCCGTCCCATGGAAGTAAGTTCTGAGGCACATTCAACAAAATGCTTCTGGAGATACAGCAGTGAGCAGGTCACTCCCTATAATAGCCTTTCTTCCCTCCCTGTGTTAACTCCTCTCCATCCCCTCCCCCATCCCCTCCCCTCCCCCTCCCCCTTCCCCCTTCCCCCTACCCCTCCCCCCTGTCCCCTCCCCCCTCCCCCCGCCCCCTCCCGCCTGCCCCCACTCTGCCCTCCTGCTCCTTTGAAGCAAGTCTGCATCAGCTACCTTGGGAGGCAGAACAGTAGCCCCCAGGGATATTCACATCCCAATCCCTAGAGCCCAGGAGGGTGCTGCGGTTTTGCATTGTGAAAAGAATTTGCAGATGTGATTGGGTGGAGGATCTTGAGAGGAGGAGATAAATTCTTGATCATTGGAGTGAGCCTGTGTGGTCACTAGAGTCCTTATAGGAGAGATGCAGGAGGTCAGAGTCAGCAGAGTTGTGATGGGGGTCAGATTGAGATGTAAAGAAGCTACCCTGGGGCTGGGGATATAGCTCAGCTGGTAGAGTGCTTGCCTTGCGTGCATAAGGCCCTGGGTTCATCACCCAGCACCAAAAAATAAAAATAAAAAAAGAAACTACACGGCTGCACACTGCTGGCTCTGAAGATGAAGGAAGGGGCCACAAGCCAAGGAAAAGGCAAGGGAAGGGACTCTCCCCTGCAGTTTCCAGAAATGCAGATCCACCAAATACCTCCATCTTAGTCCACTGAAAACCATGTTTGACTTTGAGCTTTGTCTCAGGCTCTGCTTTCAGGAATACTGTGGCAGGGATACATAAGTAAATGCATAGAAATAGAAGGTCAGAGATTGTACAGATGGGGCCGGGGATATAACTTAGTTGGTAGAGTGCTTGCCTTGAATGTACGAGGCCCTGGGTTCTTATCCCCAGCAACACACACACACACACACACACACACACACACACACACACACACAATAGAGAGTGTACAGATGAACAAATCAGCACATGGACAGGTACATAGCTAAAGTGAAGAAGCAGATGAATGTAATGCATGGATGGATGGATGGGTGGATAATGGCTGTGCTGAATGATGAAGACAGACAAACAGATAAAGAGACAGATGGTTGGATGCATGGTGGATGAATGAGGTGCTATATCAGGGTGGGTGTGTGGGTGAGTTTATGGACGGAAAGATAATTGCCTTCCCATGTGGCTTAGACACATGAAGGATTTCAGTTTTAGGAGCCTCCCAGAATCTAGATGATTCCCAGAATCTGGTGCTTCCCAGTGACCACAGGGAATGCTCTCAGGAATCTGGAAAACAAGTTGTTTTTCTGGAAATCTAGCAGTATTTCTGAATTTGAGCCTCATCAACCAATAGGAGACCAAGCAGGATGGAGCCATGCATGTGCAGAAATCTGTGGTGGCTCTGAGACTCCCTAGCTCTCTAGGGAGCTGGGAGTCAAAGGCAGGAATTCCTAACACTCTCCATCCCCAGACTGGAGGGAAATGAAAACTGACCTACCAACAGGTCAGAGCCCCAAATACATAAGAGTGATTTTCTTACACAGGCATCCTGTCACCTTGCAGTGCTTTGAAAGTGTCAATCTCTGTCCTTCCTACTCCACTGTCTGCAACCCCTGTCCCTTCCTAGGACATCTTCTTATGGTCTGTGTAGGAACCAGAGCCCAAGGTGAACAGCCTTCCACCCAAAGCCCCATACTTCCTAAGAGAAGGAGCAAATTCAGGGAAGCCCAAGGGAGGACCAGCTGCCAGGTGGAGATTTCAGGGAGGGACGAAGAGATGGGGCTGAAAAGATGGTCTATTCTGAGATTTACCCAAATGCTCCTGCTGAATCACCCCACTTACACCATACTGATCCCTACCCACTTAAAGGGACAATCCGTCACCCTGGACACCTGGCCTCCCCATCAATGACTGCTATTCACCTTGGGGCCCTGGGGACTGGAGCCCACTCTGAGAGACAATGATTTAGTTCTAGTCCTGATACTGATGCACATTCCAGCTGCTGAATGACCCCCTACTGGTCTAAGGTACCTTCCTAAAAAGAAAGCTCTCATAGTTGGGCACACGCAGTTGGGAGGAAGGGGACGTCCCCCACCCCAGGAGGAGCCAGTAGTAGAAGGGACCCATGTTGCAACCCCATGCTCAGCCCTCGTCAAATCACATCCCACTCAGTGCAAAGCCCTGATTAACAGATGGAATTTTCTTTTACAAAAGAGATAAGGGAGCCTCAGGAAGAGGAGCGGGGACTTTCTCCAGGTCACACAGCTAATTTCATGGTTCCAGGATTTATGAAAAAGCCTGGTCTGCCTAAGACCAGATGCCCTAGGGAGGTGCTAGGGAAAGTGACAGCCCCCTGACAAGGTAAGGGAGGAGAAGCCCTCAGTCATGTGAGGCCCCACTCAGGACTACATGACTCTCCTCCTAGTCCTTGCTGTCACTCTCAGTGACTCGGAAGAGCAGCTGGGAACTTGTAGCACTTCGGGGCTGGCTCTCTGTCCTGTTATCCCGTGCTCCAGTCTCCGAGGCCATGGAGCAATGGTCGGTTGCCAGAAGCTTCTCCAGTTTGGGCATCATGACAGGAAGAGTCCTCTAAATATCAGGACAGGAACGGCTGGTGGGCATTAACTGCCCAGGCCCCACTAGGTCCCTGGCCATACCCTCTGTAAAGGAGGCCACCAAAGTGGAATATGGCTGAAGAAGTCATGGGGGTGGGGAAGGTCTGGGACCATCACAGGGACCATCTACATCAATGTGTGGAAGCAGCCGGCCCACCTGGCTTAGAGAAAGAGCAGATTTGGGGTGATGAAGGGGAGGGCCTGATCTTGTAGCCCCAGTTCCAGGGCGGCCAGTCTCTGTGACCCCAAGAAGGCCCAGCCAGACCCTAAGAGAAGCAACAGGGAGGTGAGCTAGGCTTGACCCTAGGAAGGACTGTTAGTAGCCAGAGCAGAATGCCCGGGAAGGGACAGGGGGGAGGGAGCCAGCAAATCAGAAGTTCTCCAAGCCACAGGGAAGAACTCCTGCCTTGCAGAAGGACAAAGGGATCTCCAGCTGGGCCCCCAAATGCCCCATGGCTCCCAGATCTGGAACCCATGAAAGAGGCAGGAGGGTCTGGGCTGGCTACTCACGACTCCTAATGGGCTCAGCAGGCAGAGGATGCAGGCACCCCACATCCAGCTGTCCATGGTTGGAGCTCAGCAGGGGCTCTCTCCGGCCAGCCTTCTTGAACTGTCCTGCTTCCCTCCCCAACTGTTCCCTGCTACTGCCACTAGACTGTCTGCTTTCCTTTCCCAGGTGACTGTTTGCATAGGCAGGAGCCAGCCACAGGGACACATCCCCTGAATATTCACCAAGATTGCAGCACACTCTTCCCCACTCAGCCCTAGTCCTGGGGGAGACTCCATGTCCTCTGCAGGGAGGGGCGCAGCTCCAGCCCCACCTCTTCCTCTCTGCCTCTAACTTTGAGTCTGACCTGACAGCAAGGGCCCAGAGAGGTGACAACCACAGGATGATTCTTGCTCCAGTTGGTCAGTGTGCTTACCATGTTCTTCTCTGAGCCCAGTAATAGGGTGGCCTAAACTGGAGACCCCTCCCCACTGCCTACCTCAAAAGGAAAGAACCTCAGAAACTAGGAAGGAGTCCTGGGCTGGCCCTCAGGGAGCCCCCAAGTTAGCCAATGCTCCCAGCCTCATCCACAAGGCTGAAGGGTGAGCTCAGAGCTTGGGGGACCCCCCAAAGGGCAGATCCAGTAGTGGTGGGGTAGTGGCAGTGGGGACTGGAGAATTGGGATGAGCTTTAAGAAGGAAGAATAATCATGAAGGGCCGACCTAGGTTGTCCAAAGGATGTATTGTCTTGGCAGGACCCAGCTTTGTCACCTGGCTCAGATGCTGGCCTAAATGAGGAGGAGACATCTGCACGTCAAGGCTCCTGACATCACATGGGGCTTATTAAAGTCTCTCCCCCAATCCTCAAGGCAAGAGGGGAAAGTGTGACTGATCAGGAGGCTCGAAAAGAGATTCATGGAACTAGGCCATCTTGAATCAGGCAAGATAGGTGTCTTGAGAAAGCAGACTTACATGTTCCCACCCAAATTATTTTGGATATTTACCACCTGGTCATTTTTATCATCGTTTTAGATTTTTAAAAATGCAATGGATTTAAAATCTTAATGGACCAGACTAAAGACACTGTTCTCAATTAACCTGGATCATGCACGGTATTTTGGAGACCCTGAATGTTCCAGGAGCCAATGGGTCCTGGTGGTCATGGGCAGCTCTCCATTCACAGAGGGTGCTGGGCTGGACGCTGGAAATACCAGACATGTTTACAGCAGATGCATGTCATGAATGTGGAAGGTTCCTCACCACACTAAATCCCAGCTGGATTGTTTGACATCAACAGAGCTTAATTTTTCCACTTTTATACATTGTCAACAAAATGTAGAAAAATATTTTGAAAAGAAAATGTGAAACCATTCCAAGCCCCAGAGCCCCCTGCCCTTCCTTGCACACGTGTTTTCCTGAGCTCACCCAAGCCTGGCACAGGCAGCCTGCCACCCTGAGCTCTGCACATTTTCAAGGAGAAGCAGACTCCCCTCTTGGCAGACTGAGCAAGGAACTGCAGGCTGAGCCAGGAGAATGCTGAGAAGCTGTGACTTAAAGGGAAACCAAGAGCCTTCTGTCCCTCAGCTACAAACAGGCACCAGCACCAGAAAGAAATTATGGCAAATGACCATTGATAATCAGTATCAATATCATTAGCATGAATGATGGTTAATAATTGATATTGATAATTCATAACCGTTAATATTATCTAAATTAGTGGTTCTTCATAATGAGAATACTGTTAAGTGATTATTTTAACAGTGGGAATTTTACCCAGCAATGTCTGAAGGTATTTTTTGTTATCACAACCAGGGAATGGGAATGGGGAGGAAGAAAGGCAAGGAGCTCTTGGTATATAGTGAACAGAGACCAGGGACACTGTTAAACACCCCACAACCATGTAAAGAATTATCCAGACCATGATCAATAGGAACGAGCTTAATAAACCCTATCTAACTAGTTGTTTGTGCTCGACCAAATCCTCCCAGGCTTATCTTTCTGAATAACCCACAGATCTCCCATCTCTAGCTCATTCCATATTTATGTAGTTTTCAAATTCTGCCTCCATTGCTTGCTAGCCATCATTCCTTGAGGAAGTTATTTAACCTTTCTGAAAAATGAGGATAATGGTAGTACCTTATAGAGTTTGTGGGATAAGTAGACAAGGAAAGGCACATAAAGTACCTCATAAGGAGCCCGGCTCCCAGTGGACAATCATATGGTAGCATGTAACAATAGGAAAAATGGCACAATGAATTGGACATAACTTTCCCATGTTTATATATGAATACACAATCAGTGAAACTCCACATCATGTACAACCACAAGAATGGGAAGTTATACTCCATGCATGTAGAAAGTGTCAAAATGCACTCTGCTGCCGTGTATATCTAAAAAGAACAAATAAAAAATAAAACCATCCTCCTACTACTTCCAAGAAAAAAATTAAAAATAAAATAAATTAACTATCAGAAAATGAGGCTGGAAATACTGACTCTTTGTAGAGAAAAAAATAAGATTGGATTTCTAGCTCACGTTTATAAAAAAAAATTCTAAAATGTCCAAAACCCTAATTGCAAAATAACAAATAATAAGGTCCTTTCAAAAAATGTAAATTTATTTTATCATCTTAGAGGAGACTTTCTTATATAATAAAATGAAGACTATATCAAAAAATCAATAAGTTTAGCCACATCAACATTAAAAATCATGTATGCTCAAGAAAGTATACCATAGGTGGAAACTAAAAGCAAATTGCAAACTGAAAGAAATGTTTGCAACCAACAGTAACAAACAAAGGCTTGGTGCCAAAAACACATCTTAAAAATATCTACAAATCCACAATAAAGAGAAAAATAATCCAATAGGTAAAGGAGCAAAGGAATATCCACAGGTCACCCAGAAAAGCAGTAAAATACACAGACCAAAGAACAGGTGAAGAAGTGCTTGACATCGCTAATAGACAAGAAAATGAAAGTTAAAAGAGTAATAAGTTATCACTTTCACTTACCACATTGCCTAAAATTTTTGTGTCTGATAATATGATGTTATGAAGATAACGTGAGGAGTTACTTTCACATACTCTTGTTGGGAGTTAATATTATTCATCTACTTGGAAAAATAATTCAATAATTACCTATTACATCTATAAATGAACGAATCCTGTAACCAGAAATTCTATTTCTGAATATTTGTCTCTGGAGGGCAGTGTTGTTTATAAAATATAATAAAAACCAGTAAACAATATAAATGCTCAATGATAAGAAACTAGATAAACAAATTTTGATTTATTCATGCAATATAATACTATATAGCAGTTAAAAATTATGCCCTATAGTGGACTTGGAATGTGGCTCAACCCTCTGGCACTGGGAAAAAAATCAGGGTAGCAAAATCATGAGCTAAATCTGTATCAAAAAATATATTTTGAGACCAGGTGCATGCCTGTAAACCCAGTCATTTGGGAGGCTGAGGCAAGAGGATTGCAAGTTCAAAGTCAGCCTCAGTAACTTAGCAAGGCACTAAGTAATTCAGCAAGACCCTGTCTCTAAACAGAGTATAAAAAAGGACTGGGGATGTGGTTCAGTGATTAAGTGACCCTGGGTTCAATCCCCAGTGTGTGTGTGTGTGTGTGTGTGTGTGTGTATTTTTTAGGAATTTCTGCTTCCAGCCAAAACTTAGTGACAGAGGTTGATTTATCCTTCTACAGTAACAAGAAGTGCAAACAAGATATCTAAAACATTGGATTTGTAGATATTAGAAAACAAATAAGCTGAACCCTATGCACCAGTTTACTTCCAGTCCACAGTTCAAAAAGGAGCCTCCTAAACACAGGCTAGTGGTCTTGAGGAGTAAAGGAGATGGAGACTTGTGATTGAGAAGGCCACTCTGGGTGGAATTTGTGATGCAAAATACTAGAGAGTAGTTGCTGCAGAAAGACAGGGCTTTGCAGTTCTGCAAAGAGGTCTTCCCACCATCCCCTTCTTCAGGCTTTGCCTGGACACCAACTAAGAATGTGTGTAAAGAGACCAAGATTGCAGAAAAAAGGTTGCAATTGACTAGGAAGGAAATTCTTGGAACTCATAGGACTGAGGACATCTTGTGTGCTGACCAGCCAAGTGGAAAGAACTTGTAACTCACAGAGCATGAATATGCAATAGCAATGCTGTAGTAGTTGAAGAAAATTAGCCTAGAGTAAGGCTGCTCTGGACCTACTCTAACAAAACTTAAGGGCAGAGTTCCGGCTCCCGGAACCGTCCTGGAACCACCCTGGCTCAGGGCTGCGGAGTCTGCAGAGGCTGCTTCTTGGACCCTGCTACTATCAGAGCAAACACCAAGCACTAAGAAGCCGAATTCCAGCTCCCGGAACTGAGCCCGCGGGGACTGCTTCTTGGAGCTTACACTTATAGGAGCTTACACCGAGCACGGAGCGGCCGAGTTCCGGCTCCCAGAACTTCCCTGGACCGGGGCTAGGAGCCCGCGAAAACTGCGTCTCGGTCCGGGTCCTGCTGAGGGCCGGTCAGGACTCACCCGTTGCTTGGGTTGCCCGGCAAGGGGAACGGAATGCTGCCATTCGCATAGGATACCAACATGGCAGAGATCTGATGTCAGCAGAAAGCGGTGGAGGAGAGATCTTCATCAATATCAGCGGTGACATAAGCAGTTGGTCTCCTGGTAAGGGGGGTGAGGCTCAGTCACCCAAGTCTCCTCAATTTGTCCTCGAGCCAGAGGGAAGGAGCCGGGCCGCCGCCAGCCCCCGGAGCAAGCCCAGCGGCTCGCCAGCGTGGTGACCGCGTGACCCCAATTGGAGAGGGGGCGGAGCGGAGCCGCCACCCACACCCGCCAGGTGGGCAGACCCACGACCCAGTAGTACATGGGCGTGGTAGGAGGGGCAGGGCAGAGCCGCCCTTCGCGCTTGCAAGGTAAACAGACCTGTGACAGCCTGGCGGGTCAGGCCCAGTGGCCTGCCAGTGTGGTACACACGTCACCCCAACTGGAGTAGGGGCAGAGCAGATCCTTCTCCCACGCCCGGATCAGGCCCTGCCGGTGTGGTGGTCACGTGACCCCAATTGGAGTGGGG